TACTTAGTGCTTGCTAAGGGGGCCCTAGCCAGGCTCAGCTCCAGGGGGCAAAGCCTCAGAGGTGTCTGTCCTGAATACCCCCTCCTTCAGGCAGCCCTCCTGGCTAAGGCCTCTCTGATTCTGGAACTGCCCTTGCACTGGTCCCTTCCCTGGGCGGCGGCTTTGCCGGAACAGGTGGGGACCTGCTCTGAGAGAGGTCCCTGCCCATCCCCCACTGGCAGTCACCTGCTTGGCTGTCCCCCACCAGAGGTCTGAGCATAAAGGAAGGCCACACACCTTTCAGAACCACTTCAGCTCAAGGCAGAGGAGACTTGCAGGGCACACTGTGGATAGCCAGTGACCTGCACCTGCTTGCAGACTCTGGGGCCCCCATGCAACCCCTGCCCTTTCCGGGTTTCTCCTGGCAGTCCTGCAGGTGCGGGAGAGACCTTGCCTTGCCTTGTAGTTAGCAGCCCCAGAATCCCACTCCACCTCAGGGAGGCAGCCCCTCACGCCTCTCTCGTCACCGTGCGAAAGCCAGCTCCAGCCCCTGTCCCTGCTCTGACCCCAGATCCACAGAGTGAGAGGCCAACATGACCCGCCTTGGCTCCATCCCCGTGACTTCTGCTCTTCCCTGTCCCTTCTCACTTCCTTGTTTGTTTCTCGCCTGGACCATTGCCCCAGCCTTCTAATGTCTTCCTGGGCCAGGTTCTTCCCTCCCTTCAGCTCGCTGTCACAAGCCTGCCTGGTAAATATCCTAAAGCACAGCAGCAAGGCCATTCAGGCGCCGGCAACTTCCCCATGCAGGATGGATTAGGGCTGGATCCCTGTGAGGTCCCTGAACTTCTAGTCCAACTCTTGCTTGCCCAGTTTAATTTTCACTTCTATTTTCTTCAAAAGTCCAACGTCTGCAAATCGTCTCTGCCATAGAGTTTGCTGGCTGTCCTCTTTGTCCACAGCAGGGCATTTACCACTCTTTCGGTTGGGGTACAGCGCTTTATAGTTTGCAAACACTCGCAAAACTACTGGTGGATCGATCTCCTATCCTGCCCTACAAATACAGTGCTGAGTAAAAAGAGCATTCAGGAACCAAGTCAGCATAACCTGTCGAAGGCCTCTGCCCCCAAATCATGAGTAGATTTGGAAGGGAAGTTTTTCCCCAGTCTCTCTTACCTGCTCCCCTACCCACATGGAAATATGGCCTCCCTGGAGGCAGGGGGACAAAGAACAAGACTTCCAGATGCTTAGAGGACTTTACTAACCTCGCGAGCATCACAGGAGCAGCTGCTGGGGTGTCCACACTGCAGAGAGGACATTACACGCTTACAGAGCTATCTGGAGGCTAACACCTGTCTGCATTGCAACATCTTTATTTCCTTCCCGTTACAGGAACGACCATACCCATAATGAGCAGCAACTATTATTTGTGTGAGCTGCGACTAGTTACTTTGGTTTTGGAGCCTTCGTTTCCCCCACTTGTAATATGTGGTTAGAAATCTCTTTCTCATCGTGTTGTTAGAAGGGAGCAAATGAGTGCCTGTTTATGAACTAAATAATGGCATAGGACTGATTTAAAGAAGAAATGGCACTGAATGAAAGATTAATAATAACACTATTCATAATAATACTATGTTATATATCTTAGTTCTAGAAAGCTCTCTTGTATACTTTTGTTCAGGGACTGAAATATTCTGGTCTGGATGCATAGGAGACAAGACATAGGCCTCCACTGTGAAACAGAAACCGGTGAGCCACAAATACGTGTCACATGTGTCATCTAAAATTTTCTAGTAGTTATGTTTATAAAAGGTAAAGATAGCCTGGCAAAATTGGTTTTAATAATACATCATTTTAACCCACTATCTCAAAAATATTATCATTTCAGTATGCAATTCACATAAAAATCATTGGAGCTGTTTTTACATTCTGTTTTGGTGCTACATCTTTGAAGTCCTGTGAGTATTTTGCACACATAGCACATCTCATTTTGGACTAGCCACACTTCAGGTGATTGATAGTCGCATGTGGCTGCTGTGTTGGACAGCACACACTGATCAATAACGCATCTAAACATTAAAGCTCTCCATAGTGCTTAACAGGTTCCCAAACTCTTTTTTAAAAATATATCTTATTATTTTACAGAGAGGTAGGAAAAGAGATAGTTAGAAATATCCATCAGCTACCCTTGACCGGAATCGAACCGGGGACTTTTCAGTCCACAGCTAGACGCTCTATCCACTGAGCCAAACCGGTTAGGGCAGTTTCCCAAATTCTTGGTATTAAAAACCCATGTTAGCCTGACTAGGCAGACGCTTATCCTCTCCGTTTTGTAGATGAGCAGAAGCAGCAGCAAGTATGTGTGATTCACCCAAGATCACCAGCTGGTAAATGGTGAACTCAATCCTGGTCTTCAAAACTTGACACTTTCTCTTTGGCTTCCTTCTCAAACAAGCAATGCAAAGGCAAACTGGAATATTGTCAGACCTACAAGTCTCAAGACTCATTGCTCTAGTGCAGTGGTCGGCAAACTCATTAGTCAACTGAGCCAAATATCAACAGTACAGCCATTGACATTTCTTTTGAGAGCCAAATTTCTAAAACTTAAACTTCTTCTAATGCCACTTCTTCAAAATAGACTCGCCCAGGCTGTGGTGTTTTGTGGAAGAGCCACACTCAAGGGACCAAAGAGCCGCATGTGGCTCTCGAGCCGCAGTTTGCCTACCCCGGCTCTAGTGCATGAGAAGACACAGATCTTTCAAAACTCACCTACAATCTCCTCTCTTCAAAAATCATGCCCAGTTCAATCCCACCAGAATCTGTTAGTGTCATTATTCTAAAAATGCATATGTGCTGGATCAAGCACCTTCCAGCTCTGATGTGCAATGGGTGAAAAAGAATATAAATATGCATAAAACAGCCCTACCCGTCTCTCTGGTAGTCTCTATGACATAGGGACTTAGTTTTTAATGACTCCTGGGGGTTACCCTGTAGGGTTTCAGCATTCCAAAATAAGTAATAAATTAGGTAAAGACCCCCTCTCTTCCCATTTGAAACTCACATACATGTCAAATGTTTATGCCAAAGCATAAGCAGACCCAGATGGCTATCAGGGAAAGAGGCTCCTGGTGCAGGATTTCTCAGTAAGATGACAGACACATTGGGGTTTGGGAAGAGGCTGGCTTGAGAACTGCTCTGCGAAGGACCAGCCCCGAGACTAATGTTCCCAAAGAGATGCCAAAGGCAGCTGACCACCCTCCTGCCCAGCGGAGCTGCCCGTCGAGAGCTCAGAAGCAGGAGCCCTAGCTTGACCTGGCTAGTTTTCCCCCCTTCGAAGGGTGGTGGCTGGAGGGCAACAAAAGGCTTGTAAAGCTGTACCTGCTACTTTGTCTGGAAGTCTACATCCCCACAAATACCCCTGTCAAATGAACTCAAAAAGAGCCTGGAGTCTTCACAAGTAAGTTATATTTATCAAAGGTCTTGGAGTTTGCAGCTAGGAACACAGCTAAGCAAAACCCCAGAAGTATTCCAAAGGAGAAAGTTAAAAGTTCTTATAGTAAAAAATAAATAAATAAATAAATAAATAAATAAAAATATATATATATATTAATATATATATATATTTATTTATTTTTTCTTGAGAATTATCAGTCCTGCATTCTGAACCCTAGATCTGGTCCACATGGTTGTCAAACAGATGTCAGGCAGTCGGGAGGACGGATGCCAGGTGGTCCAGAAGATGCTGTCAGGTCCAGTCACACCCAGTGGTCTGGCTAATGGATGTCATGTGGATACGTATGGGAGTCCTTCAGGGGGAGAGGATTACCTGAAGTCCAGATGTATATCCAGGCATGGATGCGGGATTGGAAAACTCAAACTTACGTTCCCAGGGTATTAGAATTAAGAGTGAACTCTTTTCTCTTGCCTCAACCTTCATAATATTAATAATTGGAGCAGCTTGCTTAAAATGTGTCTATTTTATATATTGCCTATCTTCACTCTTTTCCTCACATTCCCCTTTCCCACCTTCCAAGAACCAAACTGGATGGGCAGTAAAAGCTAAAAGCCCCTTCTCTGGGCCAAGGCCCAGGCCAAGGTCAAGGTCAAGGCCAAGACCAAGTTCAAGGCCAAGGCCAGCCTCCAGGCTCCCCTCCTTCCCCAGCCGCTTCTAGATCCTTAGGGGATACGTATTCACACACGTGCGGCAACTCAGCCGGGCGTCTACGTGGCTCTCGGGCAGTGCGCACGCGCGAGGCGGGGCCGCCAGCACTTCCGGGGCCGAGGGGCGGGTCCGCCCGGGACACCCTCTCTGGCTCCTCCGCTGGGGCCGGGGCCGATCTCTGGAAGCCGGGGCCCGGCGCTGGGGGGGAGCCTGCGGGGGCCGCGGAGGAGCGCCCTCGTCCGCCCCGGAGTCCCTCGGGCAGGGCGGTCCTGGGCTCCGGCGGCGGCGCCACGCCCCCCGCGGGCGCTCACGTGACGTGGGCGGTGCCGGGTGCCGGGCGGCGGGCGGGCGGGGAGCAGACGGCGCGATCGGCGGCGGCGGTTACCTCGGCATGGCCGCGCTCTACGGGGGTGTGGAGGGGTGAGTGCGGCCGGGTGGAGGGAGCCTGGGAGGGGCGTCCTGGAAGCGGCCCGGACCTGCCCCAGCCCGAGGGCGGGGCGGAAGGAGGGCCGTGGACCGGCCGGTGGCCTCCCGCCCCCGAGACCGGCCACTCGGGGCTGCGGGGCTGCGGGGCCTTGCAGAGCAGGGTCTGGGCGTGCGCGGCGGTGCCTGTGCTCGCTCGGGTGCGTGTCTTGCAGGGGCTCTGCCGGCGCCACGGCCACACCCCGGGCGGCCCTCCTTTGTGTTTCACGGCGGGATCACGCCCCTTTCTCCCAAGAAGGACCCACTCCTCTGTTCCCGACTGGAGATGCCCCCCTTTCTCCATTCCCCACCCCACGGAGAGTTTGGCAGAACAGGTGTCAGGGGTGAAGTTGCTGGCCTGGGGGGATTGGGAGGAAGAGTGTGGTGGAAACCCGGACGGAGATCTTTGCCAGAGGGTACTTGGGAGCTGGGGCTGCTGGAGCCAGAGTGCTGATCCCTGAAACTCCTTTTTTCTGGTCAGCGCTCCAGGCTCCTGATCCTGGAAAGAGCCCTATTATCCTTGCGATTTTCCTGCTCAGAAGATTGTCTCCTGGACTTTTTGTAATAGCTTTTCCCCTCGGTATTAATATGGGCAAGACATTTACCCTATATTGGGTAATCTTTTGAGCAGGAAAAATGCAAGAATAACAGGGCTCTTTCCAGGATCAGTAACTGGTGCATAAAGTGAGAAGCGAGATGAAGGAGATGATTGCCAAGTCTCCTGCCAGTGACAACAGTCTCTGAATCTGGGTTCATCAAATCAGAGAATAACAGAGACGGCTGCTGTCTCAGCCAGAGCACTTTTGAATCTGAATTTGGATTACTTACATGGCAGCCACATCTCTGCTGACTCATGGGACCCCAACATGTTCTTTTCACATGCATTGTTAAAGTTGATCTTCCCCATCCTGTAACTATTGCCCTTTTTTTAAAAACAAACAACAACGAAATGACCCCCCAAAAGACTTAAGTGCGAGAGTTTGGATTCATCCCTGTTATAAGATATGACCCTTCCCCCACCCCCATGTTTGTCAAAAGATTCTTTCCCGTATTGAATCTCAGGCATTCACTTCCCCTTGAAACGTCTTGTCATTTTCAGTTTAGTCAGCAGGTCTTCAGTGTCCTCTTCTGATAGTCTCAAAAGTCCTGGTCGGTATAGAAACATACAGCACACCACCACGGACCTCCCTCCAAACTTCCATTTCCCCGGGTATAAAGTAGTAAGCACCACCCGGTCAGTGTTTCTCACCAGGGTGTCTTAAAGACCTTGGCAGCCGGGGCTGGGTCTGGAAAGGGGCTGGGTCTGCTTTTGAGAGAAGCAGAGAGATGTGCCATTCCCTTGATCACACTTAGTGAGTGTTGCCTGTGCTAGGGATGAGGATAAATGATCTGGAACTTGTAGTCTAGTGAGAGGCACACGAAGAACACTGACCACACTCAATACAGAGGAATCCTTAGAAGTTATATGGGAGCTGTGTGAGTGGGCCACACACCAGAGGTTTCAAGGACTGGCTGAGGTATAGGGAGGGTCTTGCAGGATGAGTAAGCTATCCCCGAGGGAAGCTGAGCAGGACTCCCTTATAGTCCAGGAGCACAAACAGCCACCAAACCACAGAGGTGGGGGTGGGGATGGTGACTGGGTTTACTGAATCCGTCTCTGTCACACGGGCTCGGTGGCAGGGACTCCACAAGCTTAGCTGTGCCTTCAGGTTTTTCTGAGAAGACTTGTGTTCCCATAGGGGAGGAACACAATCCAAGGTCCTTTTACTCTCAGAGGATGGGCAGATCCTGGCAGAAGCGGATGGACCCAGCACAAACCACTGGGTAAAGGCCACACTGAGGGGCTTGGCTATGGTTTTATTCATTCTCTGTGATTCCTGGTAGCAGCCTGGAGGGGCCGCACAGGGGTGCGGGCCTTTGTAACGCCTCCTTCCCTTGATTGGGGCTAGCTGATCGGGACAGACAGGTGTGTGGAGAGGATCAACGAGATGGTGAGCAGGGCCAAGCAGAAAGCAGGAGTGGATCCTCTGATGCCCCTTCGAAGCTTGGTGAGTCTGGGGTAAAGCCTGGGAGATACAGAAAGTCACGGTAACACTGGGAAAGCGGGTTTGAGCTAGATGAGTCTGATGACCTGGACTGCAGAGATAAAGACCTTGGAGGCCTATTCTCTGGTCTAGAAACTCGCACGCTCTATCTATTCTTGTGGCTTCAGTGGTTATCCACAAGCCATAACAACTGGAAGAGCACCAGGCTTTGGAGAGCCACTGTGACCTTGGTTTGTCACTCAGCATCTCTGTGAGCCTCATTTCCCTCGTTTGGAAAGTGCAGACAACAGTAGCTGCCTCCGAGGTGCTGGGAAAGGAAATGCCATGACATATTCTGAAGTGGTTAGCGGAGTGGAGCGCCTCGCCCATAAGCGCTCACTAAGTGAGCTCTTCCCAGCTCAGGCCTCTCTCAGGCCTGGCTTCTCCCGGGAGATGTCCTCAGTGAGATGCTCTTGCTGGCACAGCCAACCCATGTGTTCCCACCAAGCTTGTCTCTCCTCAACTTGCTCCTCTGCCTAATTTCTCTGTTAAGGGCACTGCTGTCATCCTAAGCTCCAAACTTGGCTTCGTTGAATCCCCTCTCTGTCCATTCCCAGTCCACAACCTTCCAAGGGGTTAGCATGTGGGGTGGAAGGAAGCCTGGGGTTGGATAAGCAGGGCCCAGATGTAGAGAACAGGGGGCAGGTAGCAGCAGGGGTGGGGGTGGAGAAAGGAGATGTGTCTACACCTTGCTGCTTGCTCACCTCCCCCGTGGCCTAGGGCCTATCCCTGAGCGGTGGGGAGCAGGAAGACACGGTGAGGGTCCTGATGGAGGAGCTGAGGGACCGATTTCCCCGCCTGAGTGAAAGCTACGTAATCACCACCGATGCCGCTGGCTCCATTGCCACAGCTTCGCCGGATGGTGAGGAGGTGGAGGGAGGGGTGAGGTTGAGAACTGTTTTTCTTGAGAAAGCTTCTTAGATGTAGCTGGGAGAATTTGTCTTGCAAATATCTGAAAGGCAACCTCCTTCATATCCAACCCTCCCTTTAATTAGCTTAAGGCCTGCCAGTGCAAAGACTGGACAGGAGAGAGGCCAAGAGGGTATCTTGATGAGCAGCATTGCATAAGACTCCATCCCAAAGGAAGCAGGTCCTGAGGCTGGCTGAGGAAAGCAGTAAATGCTGAGAAAAACTAAAAAACTAAAAAAGAGGAGCTCTGATAGGAATATAAAAAGCATTGGTACCACAAGATTGGCATATTGATTAGGTGGTTTAGGCTATTGAGCATAACCGTGAACAGGATCTAGCACCATCCTGGGCATATAGTAGGTACTCAGTAAAGCAGGTAGTCACTTGAAGGCTGGCTGGCGACACAGGCTCATATTCTCTCTGTCCCCAGATTGGAGTTTCTCTGAGAGCCAGTCCCCTCACCTTCAGCAGGAAGCTAGCTCGGTTTTCTCTGCGAGGCTGGGTTTGGTCCTTTATTCGGTTGGAAGGCGTGGGCTTGCTATGCGCAGAGCGTTGGCCACCCTGAGCCCCCGTGCCCTTTCCCCAGGTGGGATCGTGCTCATCTCTGGCACAGGCTCCTGCTGCAGGCTCGTCAACCCCGATGGCTCTGAGAGCGGCTGCGGCGGCTGGGGCCACATGATGGGGGACGAGGGCTCAGGTGAGCTCACACCGCCTGGGCTTGGCTCGGGGTCCCAGGCCCTTCCCTTCCTGTAGCTCTCCAGGCTTCTCTCTTGCCCTCAACCTGCTGACCCCTTGGGGCTTTCCAGGCACAGCTCCTGAATCGGATGGTCCTGAGTACAAAACAGTGGCAGCATAGAGATGCACATGCTGGACAAGCGGCTGCCTTGCTCTTCAGCAGAGATTTGCATCCAGGACTCAGGTTCATGCCTCAGCATATTAGCTGTTGACGACGCGTGATGGCTTTGTAGCCCTGGGGAGGGGTTGACACTACCGTAGGAAGGTTAAGGCCCTGTTTCCCCGAAAATAAGACAGTGTCTTACATTAATTTTTTCTCCCAAAGTTGCGCTAGGTCTTATTTTCAGGGGTTGTCTTATCTTTCCATGCGCTAGGTCTTATTTTCGGAGGATGTCTTATTTTCGGGGAAACACGGTAGTTTCTGCTAATGGGAAAGGGGTATAGATGCTTCTCCCGCTATCACATCTTTTATAGGCAGCAGGTGTACGTTTTCATAGGGGCCCTTGGGGCCCAGTTCCTAGCAGCTGGTGTGACATCTGTTCTGTCTTCCCCTCCCAGCCTTCCCTTATGTGATCCGTCAGATACAGTTTAATTAGAGGCCCCCTGTCAGGAAATCGGAACACCTAACTTGCTGTTGTATACATGCTGACTGCTAACCCTGTCGAGGTCCGAGGTTCCTTCTCTGTGAGCTAGGGGAGATTTCCCCCTCTTCTAGCCCTGTCTGCTCTCCACAGCCTACTGGATCGCACACCAGGCAGTGAAAATCGTCTTCGACTCCATCGACAACCTAGAGGCAGCTCCTCACGACATTGGCTACGTCAAACAGGCCATGTTCAACTACTTCCAGGTACTCCCCCTGCCCCTGGCAGACCCGCATACCTGGGCAGAGCAGTGGGAGACCGAGCAGGAGCGATGCAAGAGAGGGACTGGGTGAGCCAAAGGGAAGTCGGGTGAGTCATGGTCAGAGCTAGAGGTTAGAGAAGTCATAAGTGAGGACAGGAGTTGGATCGATATGGCGGTACATTCCAGGGAGTATCAGGCATGAGGAAGGAGTAGCTTAGGGATAGGCGGTTAGCCACACTGCATTCTTGGGCAGCTAGACCCTGCTGGGAGGTGAAGGCAGATGGCACTCTAAGCTGGGAGGAGCAGTGCAGAGTGAGGTCAGGAAACAGTGCCCACAGACGGGTGGGTAAAGTCTGAACAGAGATGTGAGACAGTGGGCTGTTTCGGCCCATGTGGGTCAGGGAGGACAGGCTTTAGGAGGTGGATGGGAGAGTTCTTAGGGAGGTGTGGCCTCCTACCCAGGCTATCAGGGATTGCTTCTCCTTGTCTCAGCTGTGCTTATTTGTAGTGGTTTTGGAAACAGCTGAGTTTATCTGAGCCAGAGGTAAAAGGTGGGGAGAAGAGAAGGAAGAGAATGTTGATGTAATAGACATTTCTCTGAATGAGGGCCACTTAGGTGAGCTGGGGATGGGGTCAGGGAACGAGATTAGAAATACAGGAGGTAGGACCTGTATTTCCAAGGCTCATAGGTTGATGATTATAGAGAAACTGGCCTGGGCCAAGCTGAGGAGTAGGAATAGCAACTGCTATAGGAAGTGGAGGTAAGGTATTCTGACTCAACAATTGGATCTAAATCCCAGTGATATGTCCACCACTCCCCCTCTCATCCTTTGGTCATTTTCATAAAGTCATTATAAAGAGCGAATAAGTAGTCTTTATCACATGAGTAATACATTGCTGTAGGAGCTCAAATTTTAGCCCCTCTTTCTCCATCTTAGTGATGTGTCTGGGGAATCACTGGTTCCTCAGGACTTTCAGAGGTATAACTCATGTTTTAACTTTGTTGGGATAGAAGAAGGACCTTCTGTGGCCAAATAAATTTGGGGGAAACAAATAGATTTCTTGGTTCAGGACTTCTCAGAGCCTTTAACTTGCTAATGTGCACTGTGAATGTCTAAGGGAGAGTTACAGTGTGCAGTAGTCTTTAGATTCCTTTGATCAAATGAATCTGTTCACCAGCACCTCAGGGAACTGCAGAGCACACTTTGGTGAGCAGAGATCTGTGCTCTGTCCAGACTAATCCGTAAGGAGCAATGGAGCTTGTGTTGGGAGAACAAAGAACTTTTCTTAAATGAGAAACCTCAAATCCTTGCATTCTCTAGAGCACATGTGTCAAACACAAGGCCCGCGGGCCAAATCCTTGATAGCATGTGAGTTGGTTAACAGCACTGTTAAGGAAAAGATTGTTCCACTCATTTTAAATTCACATTTCTGGTTAACATTGTCAGTTTATGACTGTTCAGTAAACCATTCGGCCCGCGATTTAGGCTGGATTTTAGATTTTGGCCCCTTCTCTGATTGAGTTCGACACCCCTACTCTAGAGCTTAAAAGAACAAATGTTCCACCTTTTCCAACAGTAGAGACATGAGGAAGGTCAGCTTGGATGGGCAGACTGAGGATTTTCCTTTGCTTCTGATGACTCTCTTGTACCATTTCTCTGCCTCTCAGGTGCCAGATCGGCTAGGAATCCTCCCACACCTGTACAGGGACTTTGATAAATCCAGGTTTGCTGGGTTTTGCCGGAAAATTGCAGAAGGTACAAGGTTTTTTCTGGCTTGGTTCCCCCATAAGACTTCCCAGGTGGGAAGGGGGCCATACTGGAGTAGGGTTCAGATGGGAACTGGAAGCCAGTTTGACTTTCCTTGGTCCAAGTGACCTCAGTTCTCTGCCACCATAGGCCTTGGGGTGAGGCAGAAGGACACACAGTTGTGCTGACATTGTTTTATACGACCTGTTCCTCTTGTCAGCTCTCATGGCTTGTGCAGGCTGTATGTCCGTTTCTGAGAAATTGATGAAGCAGTTGTCCTTTGAGCAAATCTATAACTTTTTTTTAAACCCATGATACCCAAAGAACTAGAGGACCCTGGAGCGGTTAGGCATGTTTGGTTGGGTGTCAGAGCAGCTGATCCATAGGGCCGATTTGTCTGCACGTTACTCTGGTCCACACTTCCCTAACTTGGATTCCTGCAGCCTCAGGGCATTGGCGGATCCTGCAGGCCTGAGACCCCTTCAGAGCAGAACTGGGAAGGGACTGACTGTGGAAGGAGGGTGGAAGACCTGATAGGAGCATCAACCAGCTGCTAAGTAGAGTCCTGGGTCCCCAGAGCTGAGACCCTCTGGGACAGACTCAATCACCCCGTGTAAGCGGAGTGTGAGCCAGGTGCCAGTGTGCTTCCCTAGTGGGGGCATCCCTTCTCAAGTGCCTAGAACGAGCCCCTTCCATCCAGGACACCCTTCCTGGGGAGAAGTGCCTGGTAGGGGGTGGGGGAAGTAAGGATGCAGTGGCAGCTGGGAGGCATCACTGAGGTGGGCATCACTCCTGACAGACCTAGCTGTTGCTGCCCTGCACCAGAGAGTGAGAACTGAGCACTGGCGGCTCCCTGGGTACTCACTGCGCCCCTCCTCCTTCCTCCCCTCTCCCAGGTGCTCAGCAGGGAGACCCCCTCTCCCGGTACATCTTCAGGAAGGCTGGGGAGATGCTGGGCAGGCACGTGGTGGCAGTGTTGCCTGAGATTGACCCGGTGAGTTGAGGTGGGAGCTGCTGGGCCTGGTGTGGCCCTTTCCCACGAGGGGTGAGCCAGTCCCACCAGACTCTGTGAATTGGATGATTTTATTTTATTTTTTATTTTTTTTTAATTTTTATATATTTTATTGATTTTTCACAGAGGGAAAGAGAGAGGGATAGAGAGTTAGAAACGTCGATGAGAGAGAATCATCGACCAGCTGCCTCTTGCACACCCCCTACTGGGGATGTGCCCGCAACCAAGGTACATGCCCTTGACCGGAATCGAACCCGGGACCTTTCAGTCCGCAGGCCGACGCTCTATCCACTGAGCCAAACCGGTGCCGGCGAATTGGATGATTTTAAATGAAAACTTGGGTTTGGGAAGAAATAATGTCTATAACACAAACACGTTCTTTGGTCCAGTACCTCCCGTCTGTGGCTGGTCCGTACTCTTCCTTTATATGTAGTGCATTGGTTCAATGTGGTACTGCGCTCCCCTTTCAGTCATGTTTCCGCCCATTCCCTCTCTCCTTGCTCCTTCCTCTATTGCTGCTCAATGCTTTTTCCGTTCCCCTCTCTCCCTTGCCTTTGTGCATCTCCCTATTTTCCTTTTTTTTTTTTTTTAACCCCTTGAGTTCGCCTCTGGTTCTTGACTAGAGGCGTGTTAAGTGGGATAGGGAGCCCTTGTTTTAAGATTGCCCCCTTCAGCATCGGAGACTTGTCACCCCACTGTCCATTTCTGCACTCTGGCCAGGTCTTGTTCAAAGGGGAGCTTGGCCTCCCCATTTTGTGTGTGGGCTCTGTGTGGAAGAGCTGGGAGCTGCTGAAGGAAGGTGAGTGTGTGTGTTGGGCGGGGCGGGGGGCAGGGGGGGGAAGGGGAGAGGAAGGGGGGGAAGAGGGCAAGGGATGGTGCGAGAAGGGGTGGCTCAGGAGAGCTCTCAGCTCCAGGGAGGACTTGGGACCTGAGGCCACTGATGCCTGAGCTCCAGGCCCTCAGCTTTCAGTCTGCCAGGCAGCCCTCTTACAAGGTCCCATCCAGCTTCTGTGAATCCTTAAAAAGATATTCTTTTCCAAAGGATTTATTAAATAACACCATTATTTAAAAATTAAAGACAAATCTAACTTAAAGTCAGAGCTTCAGACCAGCATGTGGTGAGGTCCCTCGTGCCTCCTGTGCCCGTGCCGCCTTGCCTTGGGCACTCCGGTTGCAATAGGCGTCCTGACGTAGCTGAAGGGCCCTTGCTACCTTGGGGTTCCGGCTTCAGGCCCTGGGGACAGCTGGCTCCAGTACCCCCAGTCGTCACTGGGCTCACACACTGGTTTGCCACCTGTTGGGGATTTGGCTTGTGGGTCTCCTGGGACCTGTGCAGGAATACCTCAGGGCATGGGCCTCTTTCCTCGCTCTGTCCCCGCCCTGGACTCCATCACAGGCTGTTGGTCTCCTTTCTTCTGTCCTCTTTTCCTCCAGGTTTCCTCTTGGCGCTGACCCAGGGCAGAGAGATCCAGGCTCAGAACTCCTTCTCCAGCTTCACCCTGATGAAGCTCAATCACTCCTCTGCCCTGGGCGGGGCCAGCCTCGGGGCCAGGCACGTGGGGCACCTCCTCCCCATGGACTACAGTGTCAATGCCGCCGCCTTCTTCTCCTACACCTTCTAGAGGGCTGGCCCCGCGCCCCCCCCCCCCCCCCCCCGTGGCCAGTGGACAATGGGTGCTGGGAGGGAGGGGGCTTTTTTCCCCTTTTCCTTTTTCTTTTCTAAAGGAAAAACATAGAAAATAAATGCACTTTACCCACTCCCCAGTTGGATTGTGTCGTGAAGCACACTTGCTATGGACGTTCAGTGCACCTGCCTGCAGGTGGCCCAGAGGGCTCGGGAATGGGTCTAGCCCCACCCCCAGGGGCTTGGCCTGTGGACTGCAGTGCTTGCCCTGCATTTGGCCTTATAGCTTATCTGTGTGCCACCCTCCCCCCATGTTAGTATACTCCGGCTGCTGCTGCCAGTTAACCCGTGTCCTCAACTTTCTGTCAAAGTGGGTAATGATCTCTGCCAGAGCGTTTCAGTGGAACTAAATGTTCTCCATGCAAAACATTACCGGGTAGAACCGTCCACATACCACACCCTCTCCTGAGAGTACCACGTAGAATTTAGGGGACAGGGTGCAAATCTCCTCTGGAAGAATTGGTACTTAGAGCAGCACATTTTGCAGTTTTCTGTGTAAATTGAGTCCTTTGAGAAGTTGAGGATGGCTGAGATCCAAGACCAACCAGATAGAATTTAACTAGGTGCCTGCCTATTCTGGGACTAGCCTGGCTCTGGTTACAGCATGACACTTTGCATCTGTAGTGTAGCACCGGGAAAGGTGAGCATTAGTGGAGAGCAGACATGATTCCTGTCCTTGGGATAATGTAGTTTGACAAGCCCAAAAGTGTCCTGTTCTGCCAACTATACTGCTTAGTGAAGGCTAAAGTCCTTAATAGTGGCTGCCTCTCTAGGCGTTCAGTAAGCTGTTAGAAGGCATGGATTATGTCCTGGACATTTCTCAAACTTAATGTATCAGTTATTCTAGAACTTGTTTTAAACCTAGATTTCTGTTTTCTCCCCCCTCTATAAGGTATCTGATTCAATAGGTCAAAGATGAAATAGGGAATTTTCTATTTAAAAATAATTTTTTTAAATCCTCACTCAAGGATATTTTTTCCATTGATTTTTATTTAGGGAGAATAGAAGAGAGAGGGAAAGACAGAAACATCAGTGTTAGAGAAACACATAAATTGGTTGCCTCCTGCACATTCCCTGACCAGGGCCTGGGCCAGAGAGGAGCCTGAACCAAGATACGTGCCCTTGACCGGAATTAAACCCGGATCCTTTAGTCTGCAGGCCAATGCTCAAACCAGCCGGGGTGAGACAGGGAATTTTCATTCATTCTAAACACCTTTTGTCATTTCTGCTGCAGAGGTCCAGGATCTGCATTTGAGTGAGCTCTGCCTTACGGCTTTTGAATTCTAATTAGGTCCTTGAAGGGGACTTGATATTTGTTTCCCAAGCCGGATGGCACTTATTTCACAGTGTATAAGAGAATGGCAGCAGCTCTCATTCCATCAGCTCTTGCCCAAGATAGTAAGGTGGAGCTTTGAGCAATGAGAACTCAAGCCAAGTCCCTTCTGAAGGGACAGCCAGACATCTTTGCATCTAGCTGTGGTTCAACCCACTGGGGTCCAGCTCTCAGCAAGTCTAATGCATCATCTGGTAAAGAGCTGACAAAGAGAACAGGGACACCCTAGAGATGCCTTTGCTTTATCTCTTTGTCCTAATAACACTGTTGGTGAGCAGTGAGCGTTGGAGAAGGTTTTTACATGTCAAGATCAAGCGGTATTTTGGATTTAGAATCTAAAACTTTATTGGTGAAGCGTTTAAAATAGAAGCCTCGCCCTAACCAGTTTGGCTGAGTGGATAGAGGTTGGCCTGTGGACTGAAGGGTCCCAGATTCGATTCGGGTCAAGGGTATGTACCTTGGTTGCGGGCACATCCCCAGTAGAGGGGGTGTGCAGGAGGCAGCTGATTGATGTTTCTCTCTCATCGATGTTTCTAACTATCCCTCTCCTTTCCTCTTTGAAAGAAAATCAATAAAAATACATTAAAAATAAATAAAATAGGAGCCTCGTCTTTCTTACCACTGTCTAGGCTCTGGTGTGCCAACTGGACAGTGGAGGATTTAGAGCAGAGCAAGGAACACATAATGACTGATTTTTTAAAATTTTAGTGCCAGCACATAGGTTGTTAGCACAGTAGCACCGGTGCCTAGGACAGTGCTTGGGATCTAGCAGGCTCTCAAACTTGTTCAGTAATTGAAAGATACAGAATCCTTGTTTTCTAGATAAGTCAGTTTTGTCCAGAAACAGGAGCAATAATAGCTATCCAGTTTCCCTTCAAGCCTGAGGTTTTCCTGTTACCATTTTTTGTTCAAAGCTGTACATATTATTACTACTATTGCTACCATATATTAAGGAAGTATTTTGAAATTAAATTTAGTCTAATTGTCACATTGGCCCTAGGAAGGAGGTGTGTCAGTTTTCTTAATAAACAAGGTCAGATCAAAAACACAAAGGAAGTGAAGAAGGTGGAATTTATACAGGGCAATGCTTAACGTTATCATGTAATACTATTTGGAATGGAAACTTATACAACTAAAACTATGATCAATCTTGAGACAAAATTACCTCGCAAACACATACACATGTATACCACCACCTGTATAGTGCAATATATATAATGACCCAACTTTAGGGAAAAGAGTTCCGTTGCCAGCAAATGCATTTTATTCTCATTTTATTAATATTTTCAACAGCTGCCATTTGGTTTGTATAGCAAAATTTTTAAAGTAACTTTTCAATTTTTTTACATTTTTATAAAAATTATTTTAATTTTAAAGCCCTGCTCCTCCCCCAAAGAAGTATTATTAATAACTATCATGTAATGTTTATTGGAGTGTGTGGGACAAAAACAACTTTTAAACACTGTGAAACAGGGATAAAAGTCCAAAGACAAGACCCGGGCCTGCTGGAGGGGCTAAGCTGCAGGTGGACACCATCAGCGCTTCACCTCCCACACCAGAGGTGGGCGTGCACCGGGCTCCGGGCTTCTTGTTTCACAAGCTGCACTTCCTTTCTCCTCTGCACGCGGTCCTCCTCAACATCTGTCCAACAAAGGCAGCATGATCTTCAACAAAGGTCCCACCTTGTCATGGAGATGATACTACTGTATTTAGAAATTTCAGAGACTCCCCCATCCCGCTGGGGAGGAAAGAAAAATCTCCAACACAGTATTATTGCTGGTTCACTTGTCCACTCCAACACATACTCATACTTTAGAGTAAGTGAATTACCAAATGCTTCAAAAGTACAGACAGGTAGATAGCAAAAGAGTTCCTTATAAAAAAGTTGCAAGTCTATAAAAATTTCTGCAGCAGCTCAGGCTCCCAAGGTCTCGGAGCTTCTGATAACAGAGCTAGTTCTCATAAGCGGTTCCTTGGACGTGGGGGAAGGAGTCCTGTGTCCTAAGGGCTCCTTTAGGCCACGGCAGGTTGAAACCCAAGTTTCAAGGACTCCTTGGTGACAGGATGCGGGACAGCTACCAATGGAATGCTATGGCAACGAAAAGAGACACGACCAACGCAAGTTAAACACCGTGGACACACCGCAACGTATGCCGAGTGGAAAAAGCCAGAAGCAAGAGGTCAGGTTTTGTATGATTCCACTGATCCGATGTCCAGAAGAGGCAAGTGATGGAAAGCTGGGAGCAGGGATTACTGTGCAATAAATAAAGGATCTTACTGGGGTGGATGAAAATGTTCTAAAACAGTGACAGTTATGACTGTGCCACTCAGGAAAGTCACTAAAATCACTGAATTTAACACTTGAAATGGGTGCATTTATTATATGTAAAATATGCCTCCATAATTTTTTTTTTTTTTTAATTACCCTGCCTCCCGAACCACCCACCAAGCACTAAACATTCCTGAGGTTCACGATCCACAGGGCAGGATGATCACTTAGTGTTGAGTTCAGAGTGAAAACACTGTCCATTTTATGGTGAATTGCCTAGGATGTGTCTGCATTACTAAAAGTAAAAGGCCACCTGTAAGAAGTAGTCCCAGAAATAAGCTTCCTCGTAATAACAAAACGTAAGGGGGCTTTTTCTTTTGGAATAAAGATGGTGCCTCTGTCCCTCTGCAGATTTCTTTCTCATCCCCTGGGGTGGGGTGGTGACTCTTGGCTGACATCTTGTGGAATTCAGTGAACTTGGCTGTCCTGTTCCTGGGACTCCCATAAACACTAGATTGGGAATAGCGGTGTGTGTGTGTTGTAGAAGGTCAAGCAAAAAACCTGAATGTTGCCTTCAGTAAGTCTCCTACTGTTCCTGGTCACCAATTATAGCTTCAAGATGGGAGAAATAAAGACAAGATTAAAAGCAAAGGAGGGGGGCGGGGACTTTAAAAACTGTGACTAACCAAGTCTGAATGAAATTCACACCACAGCGGAGCAGTGGCTGAAGGAAGTGCTCTGTGAACTACAGAGGGACCAGAAGAACGAAGGATCCCCATGGGCAACGAGGAGGCAATGATCCACTCGGGAACCGCAAGCAGAGGAAGGAGGAAATGAAGGTTCCAAATGTGCACCAGATGTGGGTCAACTCTCCTGTGCTTCCCACCCACCTCCTACACAAATGCAGATTGCATTATCCCCAAGGGGAATGCTGGGGGATACACAGCCTTTCCCAACAGGTGGATATCTCCAGTCTTAGTTAAATGGTCTCTTCTTGCCTGTTCCCGTGTCTCAGCATCACCTAAACCAGTGGTCAGCAAACTCATTAGTCAACAGAGCCATCAACTGCGACAAACTGAGGCTTTCGAGCCGCAGTTTGTCGACCACTGACCTAAACCAAGAAACATCAATTTGCTGGTACCCTAATGGAAGACCGCTTGCCCCTTCCAATCACAGCAGGTAGATTCCTGGGCTCCTGGTGTTTCTACAGTGTTTGCAACAGCAGAAGATTCAATCAAGCTATTTCCTTTGGCCACTTCAAATGACTTTCCTCTCTGACATATCATTGCCAGAATAGCCAACTGACCTCCTTACTTCCAAGCCTCTCCGAAATCAATACACTTTTTTGACATTGTAACAATACACAATTTGAGAAATGCTTAGTATTTCACTAAAAACACTTTTAAGCCATAGAGTTAGCATTAGAACCTGAATTTAAAAGGTCCCAGCTATTTTAACTGGAAACCAAGGTGCTACGAAGGCTCAGCCTTTTATGATCTTTTTTTTATTTGACCTAACATAACCCCCAAAATCACCTGCTGCAATCACAAAGACCCAAAGTTGCAGGTGCTTGGGCCTAGGCTGTGTCCATCAAGTTTTCTGCTGTAGATCTATGTATGGGCTGGAGAAACTGAAAAGGCATTTCCTTTATTTTTATGTTTTTCTTCTTCAAGAGCAAGAAATAAAATAATTTTCAATTTGGAGTTTTAAGAGTTCAATGACCATAAAAATCAGAATCACTAATAAACTAACACTGAGACCAACCAGAATTGGCAACTATTAAAAATGTATGTTTTGTTTCTATAAAAATTCTTAAACTTCCAGTTGCCAATAAAAAAGTTTCAACAGAATAATGACTGAAACTCAATATCAAAGTGGTCACTTATAAATAACAGTCTCACCATTAAAAGATAACGGAATCCAGCCTGACTGGCACCCAGACCGTCTCCTATGAGATAGATAGAGGCACCCAGCCTTTCCCAGTCAAGGTCCAACGAGACCCAAATACCTTTTTTGCTAAGAATTGACTACACTGAGTGGTCAGATTATAATGATCTCTGAATGCATAATAATCTGGCCACACACACACTCACACACACACACACTAGAGGCCCAGTGCATGAATTTGTGCACCAGAGGGGTCCCTCGGCCTGGCCTGCAGGATTGGGCCAAAACCAGCTCTCTGACATCCCCCGAAGGGTCAGTCCCAGATTGTGTGAGAGGGTGCAGGCCAGGCTGAGGGACCCCCAACAGTGCACAATAGGGGCTGAGGAGGGATGAGAGAGGTTAGCTAGCCAGAGAGGATTGCGGCCGGGCTGTAAGGCATGTCTGGCCAATCTCACTCAGTCCTGATCAGCCAGACCCCAGCAGCAAGCTAACCTACCAGTCAGAGCATCTGTTCCCTGGTGATCAATACATGTCATAGCGACTGGTCAACTGTCTGCCCCCTGGTTGTCAGTGCACATTATAGTGAGCAGTTGAGTGGCCTTAGTATATCATTAGAATATTACGCTTTGGTTGGTTGAACAGTCATCTGGACACTTAACATATTAGGCTTTAATTATATAGGATTAGAGGCCTGGTGCATGAATAGGTGCATGGGTGGGGTCCGGCCAGCCTGGCCAAGGGGAAGTGATGTGGGCAGTTGGCCAGCCTGCCTGCTGGTAGAACTCCTGGTTGAGGGGACAATTTGCATATTAGCCTTTTATTATATGGGATATACACTGAGTGGCCAGATTATTATGTATTCAGAGATCATAATAATCTGGCCACTCATTTATAGCTGAGCCTGTGATCTGGGTAACAGCTGTGCTCCCACCTCACAACAAAATAGACAAAGAGTTGAGCTATAAGAGGAGCCACTGGAAGCATCAGCCTAAACATTTAAGAAGGGGTGATACTGTGAGCTGCTTTCTGATCCTGGAGTCAGCACACTCTAGAAAATCCAGCCAGACTCACTGCTCACTTGTCAGGAACATTTCGTAGTCCTGTCTAAATATGCCTTGTGACACTCCACAAAGTGGAGCCTCCTACGGAAAGACAAGCCCTTTGGCCTGCGCCTAGCATTATAGCCTGTCCTGCCATCAGAGGAGCAAGCCTTCAGGATGAGGAAATGGCTAGATCTGGATCCCAGGAGCACTTTCCAGACTGGAGCACAGAAGAATCCATTGTGCTCTTTGTGACAGCAATACCCAGACCTAGAAAATGTCTCTCTCTGCAATCATAACCTTTCCTACCAACCTCTCTCCCACATCCACATACTTAATTTACACAGACTTTATTTCAAGTTACAAGATCTTTTCCTGATGTGTCTATCACACAACCTTTCCAATAGCCTTTATAATTCTGAGCTTGGACAAGCTACTGGAGACGAAAGAAAAGCGGCCCCAGAAAAGAGAGAGACTTCTAGTTCTGCACTTCCACGGCCCTCTCCTTGTTACAGGAAACCACCCTGTAGCTGGAACAAGGAAATTTCTTTGTCCACATGCCTCTCTGCAAACAAGGGAGAGTTCCATCCTTTTGAGGTAAAGGCTTTGGGAGTGAGCGTGCATGTCTGGCAATATAAGCTCCCTATGGCATGTGTCCTAACAAGGAAAGCCAGTTCAAATAATGCCATCCAATAGACTCAGACATGAAAAAGCTGTGGGTTTGCTTTTTAAATATGACTATAGACTGTGGCTGTTCAGAACATCAACAAGGAAGTCATAAGAAAAAAGGAGAAGTCCTTAAGCTTCCCAGGTCCTAGTCCTTTCCTTCCAACCTCTCTCCCACGTCCACAAACTGATTTTGCACAGACTTTATTTTAAGTTACAGGATCTTTTCCTGATACGCCTATCACACAACACAGGGGCAGTCACACAGAAGCCACTGTCCTCCAGACCCTGGAAGTCCTCATCCTGGGAGAATGGCCAGGAACTGACGCACTCACTTTCAGAACTGACTCTGCCATCTACATCTCTGACACATGAAGGCAGCACCTGGTACCCAGGTTAGTTCCCTATGAATATCAGCAAACGTGTGCCTTACAGGCAGGAAAGGCAAAAGGAATGTACCCAGAGGCCAAACCTACAAAACTCACAAAGCTGGGCATGTAGGAACAGTAAAATTTTATACCTGCTGAAACTATCCCAGTGGGTCACACAGTCACCTGGGTCAAGTAGGACTCACTCTCCTAGGCTTTTTTTTTTTTTTTTAAGTTCTTTTGCATAATTCTATAAACTAGGAGAAGCATCAAAATTGTGAACTGAGCTCCTTCCTAGTATCCTAAAAAATACATTTACTTATAAAAGTGCATAAGCCTTCCCGAGGAAAATAATATACCAAAAGGACCGAGTTTTGATGGGTTGGGAAAACAACTGTCCAAATAAACTTAAGACACACTAACAGGATTCAAGGATGGCTTCTCCAGGCTGAAGCTGATGGCCAGCATAGCATGCCTTTCACACACCTTTGGTAACAGTATCTTTTCTTAAAATCAGAATAGGTGGGGGTGGGGAGGAATATGGTACTAGATACCATGAAAGACAAAGAGGCAAATCTACCCAAGTGCTCCTGTACCTTGTAAATGATGAGTCTGATGGTAGCTGTAAACAGAGGCTTAAGAGTAGGCCGCCCATAACTGTATGACTCGAGTGGCAAGAACAATCACAGTTTCCCCTTGAATTCACAACTTTCTTCAACCATAAAAAGAGTTACTGTAAACCAATACTTCAAGTCCGTGTTTTTTTGAATGTAGGTTCAAGGCAGGAAGACATGGGCTCGGCAGACAACTGGTAATCCCAGTTCCTTGCAGAAAGCGCTCATGGGTCACTTAAAACACCTGCTTCTTCCACTCATCCCTCTTCCCATCCAGCTTAACAGACTCAGTAGTTCTCTAGGTGCTCACTGCCCTTGCAAGCATACAGCAGGGTGAGAGGGCGTTTGTAAACACCCAGATTTTCTTGGTCAGCTTATTCTGTTTAAATACACATAGTAGTACATTCCTGATGAAGGTGAGAAAAATTGCAATAATTTCCTTAACTCAAAAAGGCAAAAACCTAATAATAATAATGATAATAATAATAATAATAATAATAATCTGCTCAAAATGAAAGCCAGTAGAACAAAAGAGAAATACTCAAAGGCTTGTAGAGTAAGACTGAGCAATTTAGCTACTCCAGTCACAGTGTTAAATTAAACTACTATTCCCCTCCCCCACTGTGCACCCCTAGCCCACCCACCCCCTTCAGCTCTGCCTTTTTGTGCAGCACTGTCCCCAGATGTGGGGATATACAAGTCCTCCTCAGAGTTTCTCTGTCAGCTCAGTACTTCACTCCTGGAATAAATTCCTTGGCATCCGGGTTCAGGTTACTTTTGCTCTGAAATAAGAACCAAGAGACAATAAATTCCACGGCAAAATGTAAAATTTGTTTTCTCCCTGCTTCCATTATTACCAGTACCTTCCCCTCAGCCTCAAAAGAGAGAAAAAAAAGAATTCCTACAACTCAGCCCTTTACTGCTGGGCTGGCCTCAATGGCCCCTGACATTCTAAGCCATATCCAACCTCACTGTCTCCTTCCTACTTCAGATTTCTGCTCCCTTTATGATGCTTTCATTAGTGGCTTATAAGTGTGACTCCAAAAATAATTCAATTCATTGAGCACCCTAATCTGATGAACATCAAAGAACTCCATCAAACCAGTTTGATTAGCACAATCCCTATGTACAATACATATATCATTCTTCATCTTGCTGTACTCTCTTTGGTTCCCTGCTCTCTTGTGAATACCCAAACCTTAGCAAACTCTGGGGCACAATCATTCAGACCATGAGTTGTGTGAGAACTGAATCACTCTGAATTCCATACGTAAACATGGAAGGCAGGGAATTCACTTATCCAGTCTTTTAATTTTAAGTGGATAATGGCCTCTAATGAATATGTTCCTTCCAAAATGAACAGTTTTTATAATAGCACCATTCAAAATTACAAATGCAGATTTGAGGGATAGGAAAAGAAAAGAACAGCAGCAAATGATAATTTAAAACCAAATCTTGCCAGTGGATAGAACGTTGGCCTGCGGACTGAAGGGTCCAGGTTCAATTCCAGTCAAGGGTGCATGCCTGTGTTGTGGGCTTGATCCCCAGTAAGGGATGTGCAGGAGGCAACTGATCAATGATTCTCGCTTATCATTGATGTTTCTCTCTTTCCTTCTCCCTTCCCCTCTGAAATCAATAAAGATATGTGTGTGTGTATATCTATATCTATATCTATATCTATATCTATCTATCTATCTATCTATCTAGTCTTTTCTATGTTCAAATTTTTATCCTTAATCCCAATTCTACTTTTAAAAGCCCATTGAGAAAAATGGAAGTTGGTGATGCTGTGACATTGATGTTTTCACAACGCTTTATTAGGTGAATGCATCTTCAATGCACCCGATTATTAATGCCCACATGGTAAGTGAAGAATAGCAGCTTAGAGAGCTCCAGGGATTTGCCCAAGGTAGTAGTGCCAGAAAGTAAGACTGCGACTACAAATCCCATATTCTCACTATGTCACATGTGGAACTACTTATGGCTCTTACCAAAATATCTTCAGAATCATGACCATTGCTGACAGATAGTCCATTTAACTGTTGTTGCAACTGTCCCATGGCCTGAGGCAAGTCTCGCGATGGAATAAACCAGTCTTGGTCTTCCTCGTCCAGCATCTCCTGGAAGCACCGGTCCAAGAAGTCCTGCTCCAGCAGCTCCTCCTCCACCTACCAGGCAAAGGTGCAAGCTCAGACTCACCCTCCCAGAGACACCCGCCCTCCCAGGTTTAATCCACCTCTTTGTGTTAGAGGTTTTTACTCCAAAATTAAGAATGATCTGCCGAAACCGGTTTGGCTCAGTGGATAGAGCGTCGGCCTGCAGACTGAAGGGTCCCAGGTTTGATTCTGGTCAAGGGCATGTACCTTAGTTGTGGACAAATCCCCAGTAGGGGGTGTGCAAGAGGCAGCTGATCAATGATTCACTCTCATCAATGTTTCTAACTCTCTATCCCTCTCTCTTCCTCTCTGTAAAAAATCAAGAAAAATTAAAAAATAATAAATAAATAAATAAAAATATATAAAGAATGTCTTGGTTAAAAAAAAAAAAAAAAAGAATGATCTTGCATGAGACCTACTAAGAATTAAGATGCTCCTAAAGACTGCCTGGACAGAATATACTTTTTTCAATTGTTAAGTTCCATTAACAATACAACTAAGGAAACAGTTATTCAAAATAGCAGAAGTTCTTCACAGATCATCTAAGACTTCTAATATGTGAAACAGATATTTTCCATTCATGTGGCATGTACCAAAAATCTTTTTTTTTTGTAAAAAAAAAATTTTTTTATTGATTTCAGAGGAAGGGAGAGGAAGGGAGAGATAAAAACAAGAATAATGAGAGAGAATCATTGATCGTCTGCCTCCTGGATGCCCCCTCCTGGGGATCGAGCCCTAAACCAGGTATGTGCACGTGACCAGAATCAAACACAGGATCCTTCAGTCTGCAGGCCTATGCTCGATCCACTGAGCAAATCAGCTAAGGCTCGAAAATCATTTTTAAAGCTTAAAATTCTTTTCTCATTCTTGTTAAGAAGCAATTTTTTCTAAATTTCCCATTTGACAACTATGAAAAAGGTATAGGAACTATGTAACTAGACCACTACTTAGCCAGTGGACATTAAATAAAAACCAACTCTTAGCTTCTGCCCCAATTTTCTGGTAATGAGGCCTTTAAGGGTGAAAAATACTTTCAGAACCTTAGAAAAATATAAAGAACACTTTTTGACATATCAATAGAAAATGATTTCATCAATGTAGGATTCTTCCAAAACAAGAAACAATATAAGCCCTGGCTGGTGTGGCTCAATAGCCTGGAGTATCATTCCATATACCAAAAGGCTGCAGGTTCAATTCCTGGTCCAAGCACATATCCAGGTTGTGGGTTTGATTCCCGGTCAGCGTATGTGTAGGAGACAGCTGATCAATGTTTCTCTATCTCTCTCCCTTCCTCTCTCTCTCTCAAAATCAATGAAAGCATGTCCTCAGATGAAGATAAAAAGAAAAAGATTCTATGAATATTGAAACAAGTCCATATTTCTTAAAGATTGCCATAAATTAAAGCAACATGTATCTAAGATATTTTATACCTGTTTACAGTCATTGACTATTAACTCTTATGAAAGAGTTCATTCTGCACACTGTGATTTTAACAGGCCTCCTGCCTCACACGGGCCATCTCTTCTCCTGCAGCTGGCCTGGTGACAGATTCACAGCTCACTCATGCCACTGCCAGGGGGGAGTCAAACAAAAATAATCACCCAAACTAGCCAATACAGTGAACATCTCATGAATTCCAAGGGAAAGTCACTGATAGCAAGACTCAAAAATTGTATTTCAGCATTATAGTTAGCAACATTTAAAAACATTTCAAGAAAATTAGAAAGTACTTAACAGTAACTACAAAATATTTCTAAGCCACAAGATTTAGCCTAATTCCTAAAGATCTGCCCTGACTCTCCCCAAAAGTGTTCCCCTTATTACATGTATCCTTATTCACAGGCACAACCCCCAGAATGGTTACCTGGGCACAGGGGTGAGTGAAGCATGGTACATGTGCTATTCACACAAATCATGACACAGGGAGCCACTTGGAGTGGAAACTGCTGACAGCACCCCCAAAACTTGTTTTCTTCTTCCCTCAGCAACAGGCTGTTCAGTTAAAACAGTATTTCCCATCTCCCATGTGGATATGACCATGTTATCATCAAGTGATGTCCCCAGAAGGGATGGGAGCACTCTGCATCACTTGGTTAAAAGGAGATCCCCTGCCTTGGCCTTTGACTCTCTTCCTTTCCCAGTGGCTAGACTTCCGGTTTTCCTTCAGTTACTTAGCTGATAAGTGCCCTGGAGGTGGCAAAGCAACACCGTGGAAGGAACTATGTGGTCCCACCTGTCTACCTGGAATGGCTCACCTTGGACTAGTAATGTTAAGAGATAGAAGACAATGGCCAAGACCAGTTTGGCTCAATGGATAGAGCGTCAGCTTGGGGACTGAAGGGTCCCGGGTTCGATTCCGGTCAAGAGCATGTACCTTGGTTGCGGGCACATCCCCAGTAGGGGGTGTACAAGAGGCAGCTGATCGATGACTGTCTCTCATCGATGTTTCTAACTCTCTATCTCTCTCCCTTCCTCTCTGTACAAAATCAATAAAATAAAATAAAATAATTTTTTTTTTTTTTTTTTAAAAGGGAGAGAGATAGAAGACAATGAATCACTGCTGAATCTTCGTTGAAGCAGCCTAGCCTTCCCCCACCCTACTACACACATATCTATCTCAGGCTCACATCATCCCTGGGTTCTTGACTAGGGCATGCCAGCATACCAGGCTGGCCTGTCTGCTGTTTCTCAGAAGTCTATACCAGATCACCATGGCACTAGATCCGTCCCGCCAGGCCTTGCAATGTGGCCCGCACCGCGCTGTCACCACTGCACTCCGCTGCGTTTCCATCACAATGACAGTTTATGACTGTTCAGTAAACCATTCAGCCCGCGATTTAGGCTGGATTTTAGATTTTGGCCCCTTCTCTGATTGAGTTCGACACCCCTACACTAGATCCTCTTTTAATTACTGCGGCAGAAAAATGTCATGCTCTTCCTCCAAAGTTCTACCTGGTCTCTTACCAGTTGAGGCTGTTTCCTGGTCAGCTCAGACCAGGCTTCCACGTATTTTTAAGCTATTCTAAAGCCGAGGAACCCATTTCTTTTGTAACAGACTGACAATAAAGTGTTATAGCTGCCGAGACACACACATCACTGTTCTCCCTCTTCTTTCTTTACCTGTCTGTTAAAATCCTCTTCATTCTCCATCCACATGTACTCTGCAAATGGGTTTTCCTTCTCATCATGCCCATTTAACCCCTGGTCCTCTTTGGAGTTTACGCTGGGGGATGTATTTGCCACACTGGATCCATTCATTATGATAGACCCTAAACAGAAACCAAAGAAAAGGTAAAATGTTACAAGATTCAGGAAATGAAAACCTGTAATTTCCAGATTCTCCCAGAAGCTTCTGAAGTTCTAAGTCCAAGTTATTAACTATGGAAGAACACAAACTGCTAATCTGTATCTGTTACAAAACTAATAATATCCTATAATTATCAACTATACAGATGTACAGTTCTTTTTAAGAGTTAAAAGAAAAATATGCCTTCTTTCTGCCATCTTGGAGCCTGCGGAGGCTGCTGAGATCAGGACTTCTACAACAATAAATATCTCTGGAAGGCCATTTTTTCTTTTTTTTTCTTTTTTTTAAAATATATTTTATTGATTTTTTACAGAGAGGAAGAGAGAGGGTCATAGAGTTAGAAACATCGATGAGAGAGAATCATCGATCAGCTGCCTCTTGCACACCCCCTACTGGGGATGTGCCCGCAACCAAGGTACATGCCCCTGACTGGAATTGAACCTGGGACCTTTCAGTCCGCAGGCTGACGCTCTATCCACTGAGCCAAACCGGTTTCGGCTGGAAGGCCATTTTTTCTGACTATAAGTGGGGTCTCACAGAACCAGAAGGAGCACACAGCTCTTCTTAAAATTGAAGGTGTTTAGTCTGAGCCTGCATGGCTCAGTGGTTGAGTATCAACCTATGAACCAGGAGGTCATTGTTTGGTTCCCAATCAGGGTACATGCCTGGGTTGCAGGCTTGGTCCTTGGGGGGGGAGGGGGGGGGAGAATGCAAGAGACATCATTCTCTCTCATCATTGATGTTTCTATCTCCCTCTCCCTTTCCTTTTCTCTCTCTGAAACCAATAATAAAAACAAATCTAAAAAAAAAAAAAATTGAAGGTGTTTATACTTGAGATGAAACTGAATTCTATCTAGACAAGAGATGTGCTTATGTGTACAAAAGCAAGATCTCCACAGTGACTCCTGGCAGCAAATGGAGTAAAACCACAGTAATCCTGGGAAAGGAGGTACCTGGTGCTCATGGAAACAGTGGCACGGGTCATGCTACATTCCAAAGTGACCTTCCTGCCAAGGCCACTGGACATAGAGTCTGTGTAATGTTGTATCCATTAAGGATTTAAACTTATTGAAAAATAAATAAATGAAATGGTTTTGTTCTCTTATATTAAAAAAAAAAATAAAGAAGAGGGGAGGAAACCATGTCTATGTTTAGTTAGCCTTTCTAGTGAGTGAGAGGGAGGATGAATCTTTTCAAGGCAAATTCTGTAGGTTCTACAACCTAATCACAATCACATGGTTTCCTTAAAGATTAAATAAGTAAAGAAAATGTGTTCTTAAATGAACATGGTAAGCAAAGGTCTCTTATTCTGATTCTCAAGATTGGTTTTATTTAGGACATATTCAAAAAATAATACATGTTTACTGTATTGATAAGCAAAAGAGAGAAAATTAAGGTCACCAGTTGTTCAACCAACCAGAGTAAAGAATGATTAACTGTTTGGTGCACATAACCTTCGTAACTTCCCCTGAGTGTATTCAGATACACAGACACACACAAGTATCCATCCTTATGGAAACAGCATGAGGCACCATCATTTGCTTTTTCCCATTCCTATGATAACATAGCCATATTGTCTTTGGGGTGTTTTAATGTTTCTGTATTATAAAAGTTTGATGAACTTCTTGTGCTTATTTAAAAAAAATGATTTCCTTAGGATAGCTCCTAGGAATAGAACTGCTATATTAGAAATTTCATTTCTTTTCTTTCTTTTTTAAAAATTAAATTATTATCTGTGTACATATCTTACCATTCCCCCCTTCCCTCCCATTAATACCCTCCCTCCCCAGACATTTCTTTTCTTAAGGCTCTTGATTTATTGCTACCTGGTCATAAGAATTTAAATTCCCATTGGTAATATATAAGTGCCTGCACCTCTGCATTCAGGAGTATTATTTTTTTTAAGCTACCACCAATCTCAATTTATTACTTACATTTACATTTATTTTTAATGAAAGGCTGAATATTTTGAGATATACTTACTGGCCCTTTATATTTCTTATTTTATAATTTTTCTAATTAAGTATTTTGCCCATTTTTCTATCAGAGTATATGTCTTTTCCTTATCTTTTGAATAACTTTTATTATTTTTATCATAATTTTAATTTTTCATAAAGTAATTTATAAATAAAAATATTTGATTTGCTTAATTTTTTTAGTGGCAGTTGTACTGGCCTTCATATTTGTCTATAGCTTTTTGGAGATTAGTATGTTTTGTAACTCACTTGAATATTAAGAACTCCATAAATACTGGTGAATCATTACTTGGGCAACTTTTGCTTTCTATTTAAATACCATCCACACCCTATCCCCCTTGGGGCACCTTTAACAAATTATTTCCTAATTCATTCCCATCTTAGCAACATTCATGAAAAAGTTCTTCTTTGCTTCTTCTGAGTAGACTAAAAAATTATTGCTTACTCCCCTTTAAAATATTTGCAATTTTCTAACCTGTTATAGACATTAGGTAGAACTGTGAAGAATAAAGAATAGGCAGTAAAACAACTATTGATAGTTTTAAAAGTATTTCATTTATGCCAAGCAGCATGGCTCAGAGGTTTAGCATTGACCATGAACCACAAGGTCACAGTTCAAGTCCCGGTCAGGGCACATGCTCGGTTGCACGATCAATCCCCAGTAAGAGGCATGCAGGAGGCAACAGATCAATGATTTTCTCTCATCACTGATATTTCTATCTTTCTCTCCCTTCCTCTCTAAATTCAATTAAAAAGTATTTTTTTAAAAAAGTATTCCATTTAAGACAGAATCCATTTAATTCACTGTTGGTATAAACAGGCACCTAGTAAGGAATTATCAGTTTTATATATTTTACGTAGAGACTAAAGAAAATAACAACAGTATATAATAACCTTATTTGCTTTTTCTCATTTCTATGTTAATAATGCCCTACTGTCTTTTGGAGTATTTCCAATGTTTCTACATTACATAGGTTGCTTTTATATTCCAAATCCAGCTCTATAATAATTCCCTCCCTAAGGCTACAGACAAGAGAAAACCAGTTCCTTATTTTTACCACTTCCACTTGCAGCATAACAATGATAAAAGCAAGTCTGCTCTATATCAGTGGGTTATTCCTCAATAACAGCGACTCTTAAAGGTCCCGATCCTTTAATGATGCAGGTTGCATCATTCCAAAGACTCACTGGCAGTTGTTTACAGCCAGCACAATGATTTATCCTTATCAATGTGGAAGTCACTCATAGAAACTCAGAGCTTAGTTTTCTAAAACATCTGCCTTTGCCCAAAAAATAAATCCTGCGTTTACACAACCATCAGGAAAAAGGGAAGGCAGAGGAAGAAAGAATAACCCTTCTAATTCAAGAACAAGGAGGAATTACAGAGAGCAAATTGCAGGATGCACTCGTTCATGAGAAATGGAGAGGAAGGGTCTGGTGCGGCCAGGCCCAGAGCAGCAGCTGCCAGACTGGGAGCAGCCAGGCCCGGAGCAGCGGCTGCCAGGCTGGGAGCGGCCAGGCCCGGAGCAGCGGCTGCCAGGCTGGAAGCTGCCAGGCCCGGAGCAGCCGGGTCTGGTGCGGCCAGGCCCGGAGCAGCGGCTGCCAGACTGGGAGCGGCCAGGCCCGGAGCAGCGGCTGCCAGACTGGGAGCGGCCAGGCCTGGAGCAGCGGCTGCCAGGCTGGAAGCTGCCAGGCCCGGAGCAGCCGGGTCTGGTACGGCCAGGCCCGGAGCAGCGGTTGCCAGGCTGGGAGCAGCCAGGCCTGGAGCAGCCGGGTCTGGTGTGGCCAGGCCCAGAGCAGCAGCAGCCAGGTCCAGAGCAACTAGGTCGGGAGCGGCGGTGACCAGACCCAGAGCAGCTGGTTGTGGAATGAACCAGAGCAACAGAGGCCAGGCCCGGAGCAGCCAGGCCCGGAACAGCTCACTCCTTGCCTGCCCCTGCCCCACGGCTGCCTCTCAGACATGGCTGGAAACTTTTGTGGGAACTTGAGGGTCTGCTGAATCAAGTGATGAAGGCTTAGATCTGGATGTGTTGAGTTAGTATAGAGCTGGGGTGTTGATCTGTGAGTGCCTTGGGTGGGGCCTGGATGAGGCTGATTGACCTATTTGGAAATGTCTTTTGTGTGAAATGTATCATTGGGCATGTGGTGGTATTATTGATATGAGAAAATGCTAAGTAACTGATTTACTATCTGAAAAGGGATTTACTATCGGGGAAAGGGAGGGAGGAAGAGACTGAACATAAACTGCACCTATGAATGAGGACAATGGGGGATGGGGAGGGGGCGGAGGGTGGGGTGGGAACCTGGTGGAGGGGGGAAGAAATGAGGAACCTTTGTAACAATATGAACAATAAAGATTGATTTAAAAAAAAAAAAATAAAGGTAGGGTGAAGGGAGTTAGGGAGGAGTGCTCAGGATCTTAGGTTTCTGCCCTAAGAAATGAGGTACTTGGAGATATTAATATCTTTTACTAAGATGAAAAAGGCTGGCAGAAGAAGAAATTTGGGAAAATAGTGAAAGTGCAATTTTAGATGTGGTACAGTTGATATATCTATGAAAATTCAAATAACAATTACATACACATCAAGAGGTCAGACTAAAAGTATACATCTGGGTTACTAGATTACAGATGTTGTGACTAATTTCTAGTTTACTTCTATTATGATTATAGATTATAGATTATTTTAATCCTTTGAAATTCATTGGAACCTGCTTGCATGGCTCATCATATGGTCAGTTTTATAAATGTTCTGTATGCACTTGAAAAAATGTACATATTCCTATTGCAGGTGAATGCCTAACAGGGAAAGTTGATTCATCATATTTGCATTTTCTGTACCCTTATTGATTTTGTCTGTTTAGTCTATCATTTATTGAGGTATGTGTTCAAAATTTCACATTTTTAATGTGAATTTATTTTCTCCTTTTGGTTTGGACAATTTTACATTACACATTTTGGGTATATATTGTATACATAGAAATTTGGAACTATTAAATGTTTTTGGTGATTTTAACTCTCAAAAAAAAAAATTGGGGGAGTAGTGTTTGGGGAAGATGGGAGCAAGCTGGAAGAGGTTTATTGGCGGAAAAGGGCAACCTATGTAATACTTTCAACAATAAAGATTGAAAAATAAATAAAATAAAGGTTATAGATACCGGCAAAAAAAAAAAAAAAAAAAAAAGGAGAGGAAAATTACCATAATCTCACATGGAGACGTTCCCAAAATTAACACACTTCAGTAAAGTTGAAAACATTGAGATATGGGGCTGCTGATACTGGGAAAGTGGTTTTCTTATAGTTGGCAACACAGTGTCGATGTGTACTTTATACCATTCTACTTGTGTTTTCCACACAATTAGAAAGTTTGGTTTCTCTAAAATAGCAGCAACCCAATAATTTAATTTGTATAGTGTTTAGCAATTTATCAAGTACTTTCACATCTATCAGCTGACTGCCTCAGAACTGTTCTGCCTCACTTCATTTTTAAAAAATATATTTTTATTGACTTCAGAGAGGAGGGGAGAGGGAAAGAGAAAAACATCAATGATGGGAGAGAATCATCGATTGGCTGCCTCCTGCATGCCCCCCCCCCCCCCCACTGTGGATGGAGCCCACAACCTGACCATGTGCCCTTGACTGGAATCCAACCTAGGACCCTTTAGTCTGCAGGCCGACACTCTAACCATTGAGCAAAACTGGCTAGGACTGTCCTGCCTCACTTAAAAAACCCATCCAGACATTGCTATAAGAGGAACAAAGAGCTATAGGAGGAACAAAGAAGGTACCAGATTCATGGTAAAGCAATTGAAGTTGCTGGGTTAGTTCAAGAACACTGGATTATGGGTTTACTGGGTGACAGTGCTTAATGTGTCCCTGGACTTTAGAAGGAGGTGGGAATGGGAGACTTTGCTGGAGACTAGAGATTCATTGGTAAGGCATTTGAGGAATGCCTTCCAACGTGGGGAAGACACTCAAGACAGGATTGCTGCCCGTAATGTCCCTGACTTTCCGGCTTCCAGAGTTTAATGTAACGTTCTCCTCTATTCTCAGCTCCTCTCCAGCTCACCATCCTCCATGCACGCCCTCTAAGAGCAGTGTGTCTCTAACCATCCTACCCTGAC